AACTACGTCGTTTCATTTAGTAATCTGAAGATTGGATCTCCTCCATTCAATTTCACTTGATCCAACGGCCCTGATTAATCTCCCACTCGGGTATTTAAACCCTTAATTCCCCAAAATTTGACCCCATTTTCCCCTTAATTCTCCTCTTCTTCCTCTCTTTTCTCACCCTCTCTCACTCTCTGACCTAAGCCGCCCGCGCCGCCCAGTGCCGCCCGCTGGAATTCACCACCGGCGGCGGCCAACCTCCAAACCACCCCAAAATTTTAGCATTTCTTCCTCTCAACCTCCTCTCCATGAATCCAAGCCTCATATTCTCCAAATCCCAACCAAATTCCACGAATCTAGCCTAAATCAAAACCCTATCCACCATTTTTGACAAATTCGTGGAGATTGAGCCACCCTTTCCACCTAATTTTTACATACATAGATAGAGCTCAGCAAGGGCTACCATTTGGCATTGGTCTTAACCCGAAATTCCGGCGACCGGAATTCCGGCGACCTCCACTGCCCCGCCGCCACTGCTTCTCCTTTTCTTTTTTTTTTCTTTCTTCTTTCGACCCAAAGGCATTTGTTTCCTTTTGGCAAGACGCCAGAATCTATTGGTTTAGCGTCTGCTAAAAAGAAACATACGCCTCGGGGTCAGACAGCCACCAATTGGCATCCTCGGTATCTTCCCGTGGCTCGAACAGTGTCAAATGCCCTCGATTGGTATAAACCTTACTACCTTTTTATCTTCTCTGATTTTTCGCTTTTGCAATTAGTATTAGTTTTAAAGGTTTAATTTCCATTAGCATAGCTGTTATTTATGTGCAATTGAGTATTAATTTTGAATTACATGTTACTTTATAAATGCGAATTTCAGTTCTTCGACCTAGCCGGTCGAATAGTTCGTTATTGTCTATTGGTTCTGATTTTCGATTCTTCGACCTAGCTGGTCGACTATTTTGTGTGAACTTGTTGAGTTTGAATTTTCAGTTTTCCGACCTAGCCGGTCGATAGTTAAGTGTTTTATACTAGTTTCATGAAAAATCAAAAAGATTAGTTGAATCGTTTATTTAGTTAGTCGTTTGTTAAGTTGTTATTAGTCATGTGTGATAATTTAGTAATGCTCGTTTAACTTCTGTTTTGCACTTCAGTTTGTTATCACAGTCGCTTCATGTTAGTTTGTACGAATAGAGTTGATTTCAATCTATTTAGTTTGAATACTTAGTTCGGTTATCTTTTAAGTCTTGTTTCTGCTGTTTCAATTCATAGTTTGGTTAGTTTGAATGTTTGAGTTTTGAATTCAGCTATTTGTTGATAAAGTCAGAGGGTACTTGAGTGTAGGGCCCATGTTTGGTTGCTTTCACTGTTTTAATAGCTATTTTGAGCACACTATTCCAAACACTATACACAGTTGGTAAAGAAACCATCCTTTAGACAGATTTTTCACCAAAAATCTGTCCATTGAACTGTTGGGACAGATTTTTTTTGTAGAAAATCTATCCTTTGGATAGGTTTGCAATAATAATTGAATGCCACCCTCTCCTATAAAAGGAGAGGTCTTTCTTTCAATTAAAGGGGGTATTTTTGAACACTCTAACATACTATCTATCTTTTACACTCAAAAAGCACAAAACTTGAGGAAAAAATCTGCATTTGAACACATTGTAGTAGGCTAAAACTAAGAGCAAAAACCTTCCAAAAAATAAAAGCTGTGAGTTTAGTTTCTGGGCTTTTCTTTCTTTGAAAGTTTTTCTGAAGTTTCTGGGTTAATTTCTGGTTGATACTGGGTTAAATTGCTGCTGGTCGTGTTGTTGATCGTTTCCATTTCCTGTTGAAATTGCTGCCTGCCTTGGATCGATGTCCCACGCTTTTTAGCTTCTGCTTCTAGGTAATTTTTTGCTCCTTTTTTCCCTTTAGTGTAAACCTCTATTTGACTGAATGAAACATGAACATGTTAATGCGTTTTACTTCTCCATCTCGTTCTTTTAATCTCTCTTTCGTTATGTGTGAATGAAATAATGTTTGTATAACGGTTGGCCATGTGAATTAAACCAAAAAATGCTGTTAGTTTTCAATTTCATATGTATGTTTTGTTATAAGTTATGATGAAGTGAGATTAGTTTATTTTGTTTGTCTTTGTTAGAATTTGTATTGGAAGTATGTTCTCGATATTGGAAATTTTGTATGAGTTTTTCTGTTGAAGATACTTTCTTTTCCAGAAATACACATATATGTATATATAAAAGAGTTTACTTCTTTCTCTTTGGTTTCATTATCAGAAATTGCCCAGGTGAGCATATGATCTGTTTTACGGTTCATCTATTTCTTGGATTCCGTTATTGACATCAAATTGTTCATTCCTTTGATATCTTCAATTAGCATTTTAAGAAAGATGGTGATTTAAATAAGTTATTTGAGTTAATATAACTTTGAATGTTGTGACGGAATGGGTATTGATTTAATACTCCAACTGCTGAGTAAAGAGACAAACAATGTGGGCCGTGGGTGGGGCTAGATGTTTCAGCAGGTAAAAGTTTTGGGCCAAAAGCTTAATTCTTTAGGCCCAATGCCAACTAAGCTAGCTGGCCCATTTCTTTCTTCTAAGAAATAAATAAATAGCTAGCCCATTTTCCAAGATTGTCATAAGCAGGCCCAATTGATTTAAAAATCAGTTTCGTCCAACAGATCCTGTCAAATTGGATACTTCTTTTTAATATTTTAATAACTTAAGCACTTGTAAATTAATTTAAACGCTGAGCAACTAGTAGGCGCGCTTTAACTTTTTCGTTCACGGACTCGCTTGTATAGTGAGATGTTTCACATTCAATAAGTTAATTCAACAATCTCATGTCATATCCATTAGTTTTAGTCAATTTTTAATTTAGTTAACCGTTTGCTAAAAATTGCGAATTCCTTTGCGTAGCGCGGTAGTGTCATTTAATAAATTTCAAGTTAATTTTTCCTCATAGCACAATCGTAGTAATTTTTCAAAAGTAAATAACTTATTAATAATTGTTTGTCGCTTGCGTAGCACTGTTATGACTAAATAATAAATTTCGTCGATCACGCATTCGCTTGCGTAGTGCGGTCATGAATCTTATTCTTCAAAATATTCTTTAATTTTTCTAATAATCAAGAGATAAAAGCGGATAGGTAAAACATGAAAATCGTATAAATCACAGTTTGTCCAAATTAATTTAAGCAAAATTTTAAGTAAATAAAGCGACCGTGCTAGAACCACGGGACTCAGGGAGTGTCTTATACCTTCTCCCCGGTCAACACAATTCCTTACCCGAACTTTGTTTTCGCGGACCGATAAAATAGAGTCAAACCTTCCTTTGACTAGGGATTCAAATAAATGGTGACTTGGAACACCGAAAAAATCAATTCCATGTGGCGACTCTGAACAATAAAATAATCCCTACTCAAGCTTTGTCACATTAATTGGAAAAACTCTTTAACCCACAATCCGTACATACATATTTTTCGGGGGGTAGAAAAGGGGTGTGACAGAGTTAATTACTGATATTCAAATTTCATAAGCTTTAATTTTGGAGGAATTCTGCCAATCCCTACGTCAACATAAATGGGAGGCTTAAATTCCTTAAGGACAGAAACTACACTATCAAAGTCTGATTATTTTATCCACGTATTCTGCAAATTTATTTTCTAGCACTTAGAAAGTGCAAAAGAACAAGTGAGAAGATGGTGTACTATTATAATAATCTATTTAACAATGAAAAGTTGTGTTACAAACTTGACCAAAGAGACACAGAGACTACAGTCTAGAGTGACTCCTTACATTTTTTCACTTTGGCAATTAGGACTGACCACAACACAGTTTATTCCACTACAATAACAAGGTACTGTTATTCCTTAAAACATCATATATATAGTTTTAGACAAACTGCTGTCGTGCTCCAGCGTTCATCGCGCTGTAGCTGCAAGAGAAAGATAAAAGAAACAATTATCATAATTATTATTTTCTTTTCTTTCTCTTAGGATGTGCAAAATAAATCACGAATTTTAGAATTAATTACAAGCAAAGCATGGTCCATTCCCCTGTATCAGGATATGGAAATTATGATATATAGACCTTTAGCTCTTTTCTTTTGTTGAAAGGAAATGAATCAAATATAGTCTTTTATGTGTTGTTCCAATATTATCTAATAATACGCGTGATATATATATATATATATATATATATATATATATATATATATATATATATATATATATATATATATATATATATATATATTACTCCTTCCGTTTAAAAGATATTGACACTATTTTCTTATTAGTCTGTTTCAAAAAGATTGACACCGTTCAATATTTTCTTAATAAGAAGTATTTATAGTCACACAAATATTATGACATGTTTTAGACCACAAATATCAAATGTTTTACAGCCACACAAATATTATGATTTATTTAAAATCACAAATCTTTTCTTCTTTATTAAAATTTGCACCAAATCAAACTAAGACCATCTTTTTTAAAGGGGAGTATATGAAGAGGAGTTGGTAGGAGAGAGTTACCTCTATACTGGTTTTCCTTCTTCCTGCAATATTTACACACATATTGCTTTACATCAATATAAGCCAAAAGACAAGTATATTTAAAGTAGAGTTAATTTTATTCATGGTTATTGAACTTTTGTATTTGTTATCTAAAAGTCATTTTTTTTTTGTTAGTAAAAATCATTCAACTTTATGTTCATTACACAAAAGTGTCTTTTCTTTCTTTTGTTACACAAAAATCATTTTACTTTGCTCTATTATCACAAAAGTCATATTTTTACTTGAAAAGTCTATTATGCCCTTGATATTATATAAATCTTCATATTTATGTAAATACTTTCTATATTATATATTATATAATATATTTTTAACTATATATATATTATTTATAAATAAAATAACTTAATTATTATTTTATTTAATATTTTTATAATATATTCATATATTTTATTTTTTCTTAACATAAATTTTTCAAAATATATTAGTAGCGTTATTAAATTTGTCAGTAACTTTAATATATATTAGTAGAGAAATAAATCGGCAAGTACATTTCCGTGAGAAAATTCGCAGGTATACAAACAAAAAAAATGAGGAAAAAAATCATATGTTAATTTGAAGGAATATTCCTAGGTAACTCTACATGCGAATTTAGCTGGGGATATGTTCTTGGTGATTTACCTAGGCAATTGGTTATTTGAGAAATTACACTACTAGAAATTCGGGAAAACCCGTCCAAAAAAATCGACCAAAAGTTGGTTGGTAATGGCCAATAACCGTCCAAAACGCGACCATTAACGTGTGGTCGGTATTTTGAAGGTCGGAAGGGCATACCGACCAAAGTTGGTCGGTAATTTCCGACCAACTTCGGTCGGTCAATTAAATTCAAAAAAAAGAATTGCTGAAAAAAGTTATTTTTTAACGCTACTAATATATCTTGAAAATTAAAGTTAAGAAAAAATTAAATATATGAATATATTATAAAAATAATAAATAAATATATTAAGTTATTTTATATATTAATAAAATACATAGTTAAAAATATATTATATAGTATATAATATAGAAGGTATTACATAAATATGAAGGTGTATATAATATCAAGGGCATAATAGACTTTTCAAGTAAAAATGTGATTTTTGTGATAACTAGAACAAAGTAAAATGTTTTTGTGTAACAAAAGAAAGAAAAGTGACTTTTGTGTAATAAACACAAAGTTGAATGATTTTTACGTAACAATAAAAAAAAAGTGACTCTTGGGTAACAAACACAAAACTTCAATGACCATGAATAAAATTATCTCGCACTTTAATCATATATTATCGAGACATTAGTAAAAATGAATAACTATCTCTTGATCGATGAGGGACGCGTAAAGATTTGACATTGAATGCCATACATTATTTTCGACTTGAATGGTGTAGTAAAATTAAGATTTTCAAAATATATATAGATTCACATGTGGTGGCATTTCATATGAAAGAGCAGTTCGTGCGCTAAGCTCCTGCTATGCAGGGTCCAGGCTACCTTGCATTATATCGCACCAATCAACCTATAATCTTAAGTTCACCTTTATCTATTTTGAAATTGCAAAGGTTATTTTTCTTAGACATGAAAAACGTGAACTCAACTAATATTTGAAGTAATTAATAGATGAAAAATACTTATACACACTGGCTGGCGCTAGAGCAGTCGCAGTTGCCACACTTGTCCGACATGGTTAGGAGATTAAAGCTAAGAATAAGATTGAAATAGAGCTATACTTAAATAGGAGAAAGTGTCTGTTGTAAATTTGCTATGGCTTGAATCGAAACTATGAGATCGGGCTGCTATTTATAGATGGAAAGTAGGAAAGAACAAGTTGGCAGTGAAATTCAAAAATTCCCAGATTTACAAGTGGTAATTAAAAAATAGCCACAGTATCAAAAGTAATCGAAATTTAGTCACTTTTCATGTAAAGATAAATTTGAACGAAAACACTGTTTAAAATCCGGAAAATATTACAGCATAATATATTGGAGTTCCATTATAATATACTGGGCTTCCAACATAATATACTCGACTTCCAAAATAATATGCTGGAATTCCAGTATAATATACTGGTCCAGTTTATATACTGAAAGTTCATACACAGGCGCTCCAATCTCCAGTATATTATGCTGGAACTTTCCATGTGTTAGAGTTCCAGCATAATATGGCGGAAGTTCATACACAGGTGCACCAATCTCCAGTATATTATGCTGGAACTTTTCGTGTTGTAGCAAAATAGTAGCTATTTTTCAATGGCTTTGCAAACGTTAGCTATTTTTTAGTTACCAGTCCAAAAACTGGCTAGCCCGTGCTATTTTCAACTAGAAAGGTGCACACACTTCTCTGAAAAAGGTCGGAAAAAGGAATCTTCAAAATGGAAGGGGCTAAGGCTTGGTTTTTTTATCATCCTCTCGTGTCACCTTCATGTTGTGCATTTTCCTTTTCGTGATCAAATTCAATACTCAAAAGACTAGTTATTCTTTTTAGATAGAATTTAAATTATATACCTTATCAGTATAAGTAATTTTTAGGGAATGGACCAAAAAATGCCCCTCAACTATAAAAGATAGGGTAAATTTGCACTTATTTTGAATTTGGTACCAAACATATCCTTATCATTAGTGATTGGTTCAATCGCTTTAACTATGGGAAAAAGAACAAAAATGCCCTCCATTTAATTTTGGTCTCAAATATACCCTCTTGAGAGGATTGGCTCCGTATCCCCCCCCCCCCCCCAACCAAACCCCAACCCAAGTCAAATGCCAAATTTGGTCTACTTTTCATAGTTGAGGGGAAAATCTAAACTAATCCATTAATGATAAGGCCAATATTTGGGACTAAATATTAAATGAGGACAAATATGTTCTTTTTCTCATAGTTAAGAGGTTTTTTTTTCGGAAAAGGGTCTGATATATCCTTGTACTATGGTAAATTGTTTAAAATTGTCCCCCGTTATACTATTGGGCCATAAAAGTCCCTACCGTCCAACTATCCTAACAAATCTGCCCTTACTTTGACGGAAGTGCCACGTGGCATCCATCCTTGCCTCTTTTTAAATCTGGGCACATAAGAGACGACCTGCTCCAACTATACCCACCAACCCATAACCCATTTATAAACCAAATAATATCCCAAAGCCACTGACCAACGATTTATAACCCCAAATAAACCCCAACCCTAATTTATAATCCTACTGCCATCTCCATCAAACCCTCTATGCTATGCACAGTCAAAGGGTCTGTGTCTGACTCAAGAAGAAACTATGCACAGTCAAAAGGGTATTTTATGAGTAGGAAGCAACACAGAAGTGTGGAGATTAAACACATGTATCAACCAGGCGTACTATAGGGACCAAAGCCAATGACATGATTTTGATAGTGAAAAGCACAATCTGACTCTCATAATTATGATAATCGCAGACACAGACAAATGCCTTTTCCTGCACGAAAGATTTTAAATTACAACATGATGAAGTACTATTCTTATTCAAATATGCCTGCAATTCTGGAACAATTGGAAACACAGAGGTCAGTGCAAAATGTTGACCTACTGAAATAAATGGAACCTTCCTACTTCATTTTCTTTAATCTTTTTCTCTTCCTCTTTTTTCCTTTGGTAAGTATTAGATCTAAACTATTTATTCGTACTCATGTTTGCAACAATCTGGTCAGTTATTGAAAAGTTACAAATTGTTTGATGGAGCATAGAGGGTTGATGGAGATGGCAGTAGATTATAATTAGGGTTGGGTTAATTTGGGTATAAATCGTTGGCAGTGGCTTAGGGTATTATTTGGTTTTATAATGGGTTATGGGTTTGGTGGTATAGTTGGAGCGGGTCGTCTCTTATGTGCCCAGATTTAAAAAGAGGCAAGGATGGATGCCACGTGACACTTCCGTCAAAGTAAGGGCAGATTTGTTAGGATAGTTGGACGGTAGGG